CTACCTGTATAGTGTGGGGAGCGGACGAAAGATAAAAAGGGCTAGTAACCAGCTCGGGCTAGTAACCAGCAGTATCAGTTGAATGAACCATAAGGGAAATTCCATTGACACACGGCGATGGAGATTTCTGCAGAAATCTGCAGAAATCAGCAGAATTCTGCAGAAATCTGCAGAATTCTGTGCAGAAATCTAAATTCTTTAAAAAATTGCAGGGCACTGGGCCAAAGTTGGGCATTTCCGACAAGTTATGCCCAAAATACATGTAACCTGATTGTAGCATTTGTAGGAGAGTATATCTACCACTTATCACCATAATGATACATTTTGTAGGACAGTATTGTACGAAATCAGATTTCTGCACAGAAATCTGCGTGGGGTGCAGAATTCTGCACAGATTTCTGCACCCAGCGCAGAATTCTGTGCAGAAATCTGTGCGGGGTGCAGAATTCTGCGCAGAATTCTGCAGATTTCTGCAGAAATCTGCAGAAATAACCAGATCCCAAGGGAACTATCATTGTTATCTACATAGTTGTTGTCATCTTCTACATCACAATATGGAATGTCAATTGTCCAGGACAAACTATACTTGAAAAGTGAGAGGTAGTCCGGAATTAGAGTGTCTGTCCGGAATTAAAGTGTCGCCTGTTAACTGTAATTTTCCAATACTAGGATTGGACTTCCCCAAATTTTCAGCTGTACAACTCCAGTCTTTTGTTTTAAAACAGGTAAAAATTAATACATGCCTGTGGATGTCATCCTTGAAATTCAGTTTGACCTTATGAATTTCATGCATGTTCTCTACCATTTCAGGGTCACCCTCAGAAGAATAGGAGACAATCTGAAGGCCCTGGACATCTACCACAACGAGACGGAATACAACATGTACAAGTCACACAGAGTGCCTCCCAGTGGGGGCAAGTCACTCAGGAAGATGGTCAAAACTAAAAGACAGGCAGAAGAAACCGAGAAGACTGAGAAAAAACCTGCAGGTAAGCCTGGATCTTTCAAAGGTTTGCCATATTGTTATTGGTTATTGGGAGCAACTACAGTACTCTCTTTGCAGCCAACAGCTGAATTGTGAGGAGTTTACAATTATTGGGACTTAATGGACCTACATTGTATGTGTATTACCATTATTACGTCACAGTTTGTTTACCGCAATGAATGCTGGTCAATTGACATTTATATTGTACAGGGGTGCGTAGCGCGGTGTGTGTTTGTGTAGCGTTAGCCTAATATAAGGCATTTACTACAGTAACTATTTTCGTCTGATGTCACAACTAAATCACCCATGCGGCATGTTATGCTGTGTCAACACAACTAGACGCAGCAAAAATCAGACATACCTTACTTTGAAAACTTTGCAATGATCTTTATTCTTTAACTGACCGTTCTAGAATGTTCTTTAGATTATTAGAACAGATAAACAAACTGTGACGTAATAATGGTATAGGTCCATTGCAAGTATCTGGAGCAGCTGCCATTCAGCGCTAACTCAGGTGACCTCAATATACCACCCTGGGTGAAGCCATATGACTGTAATGTTTGAACCACTCACACTGGGAAGGACCCCTGTTCTTTTCGATAAGTGTGGTGGGTTCTTTAACATGCGTGAAGTGTGGCTCTCCCCAAACACAGGACCTCCATTTTTTACATCATATTTGAGGGATGTCCCTAACCAAAGCTAGGTACTCATTTTCACCTGGGTGAAGTGAGGAAAGTCGTGTTAAGTGCCATTCCCAAGGGTGACAGGGTAGGATTCGAACCCAAGACCTCTGGGGTCTGAGTTGAACACTCAATTGCTATTATGCCACACGACACCAAATCAACATAACAGGCTGGTTTAAAATTTAAACATTGAATTTTAGACTTTCAATCAAAGCACTGCATTGTTACATGTAAATGGAAAACTGTGATAACTTGGACTTGACTTTCTTCAACTGAAAAACATGACCATTGGTGCAGTCTTTCTTAAAAATATTATACAATGTTTTGTTACAGGTCCAGAAGAAACTGACCCAAAAGACAAAACTCAAGATACACAAGAAGACACAAAAACAGATAACCAGCCTGATCAGACGGAGACTGAAGAAAAGGGAAAGGAAAAAGCTGAGGATGACACCAAGACAGAAGACGACACAGCCAAAGAACAAGACAAGGAAGCTGAGATCACAGAAGATACGGATAAAAAGGCAGAAGAGAAGGATGAAGAGAATAATGATGAAGACGATGAGAAATCGAAACAGACAGAAGAAGAAGAAGAGAAAGCAGAGGATGACAGTCCTGATGTTGCTGAACCCCTGATGGAACACTCCTTACTGTACAATCTCCCCATGGGACAGGAGAAGGTCAAGGAAGTAGTCTACAATTTGACGGTAAGGTCACTTCAAGGCTCGAAATTCATTTTTGGGAATAGGTGCACTGGTGCACCCAACCTAAAAAATTATGGTGCACAGAAAATTTTTTGGGTGCACCGTATAAAACAAAATGTAATTACTGATCTTACTGCTCCTCTTCTAAGCTTGAATGTAAAATGGGAGCTAAATTCAACATCTTAAACAAGTAGTAGTCTACAATTTGACGGTAAGGCCACCTCAAGGCTCGAAATTCATTTTTGGGAATAGGTGCACTGGTGCACCCAACCTAAAAAATTATGGTGCACAGAAAATTTTTTGGGTGCACCGTATAAAACAAAATGTAATTACTGATCTTACTGCTCCTCTTCTGAGCTTGAATCTAAAATTGGAGCTAAATTCAACATCTTAAACAAGTACTATAACTAAGATTTTGTGATTTTTGTGACACTTAGATGCCCAGAATATCCTGTATACTATTATACATTTGATATTTATGTACAAAAATACCTTTGTACACCAGTGTACCCACAGAAAAAAAACTGAGTACACAGCTCCAATTTTGGGTGCACTAAGGTGCACATGCACCCAGTATTTCCAGCCCTGCCACATGTACTTAATTTATGGATGACATCCTCTAAAGACCCCAAACTACATGTAGTGCATGTGGGTAAATAAAAAACAAAAATCCAGCCAAAAAAATGCATGCTGACATGTGAATACAAAGTTGGTATTAATAATTGTGAATATGCAGTAGTACATAGCGACTTTTACGACAAGCCGGCACATGATGGCCTTTCGTGGCATTTGTATATATTTATTAGTCGGCACTGTACTGAGTTCCTGAGTTCTGATTAGCTGTGCTAGAAATACCCATCTGCAGTCTGCATTTTGCAGAGAAATTTCAATATTGCAGAAGAAAAATTAAGCAACCTGCAATTTTGCAGACTCCAAAAAATCAGACTAGGGCTTCAATGGATAGCTTTTGTGTTTACTACAATAACTGACTCTACAATATACATGTACAGTACTTTTGCATGTAGAAGTATTTTTCAAATTGCATGTAAAAAGTTTGCCAGCATGCAATTTTGTATACATGCCATATCCGTACTTTAAGTGTGTATTTGCAGAATCTGATAAAATTTCTGAATTGCAGAACAAAATTTTGACATCCTGCAATATTGCAGCACACTGAAAAAAAGCCACCACTGTAAATTACAGTACTAGTGTAATGTCAGAATTAAGGATTTTGAGCCCTGTTTAGTGGTGCATACCTAAACCAACATTTAGGTTCAGGTCCGGATTCAAGTCCAGAGGTTTAAGTTCAGTTCCGGACTTGTAAGTCCGGACCTAAACCCATGGCATATACAAAATTGCATGTTGGCAACCTTGCAATGTTGTCTGGGTGAAACTTTGGCCACATAACATGGAGGCGGGTACTTGATGATGCCCAATGGCAATGTTTTCTTCATTTTGCAGCAAAGATTTTGCAATCTACGGAAGGTTTTAGGTGGTTTGGAAAGAAAAGGGGTATGTGAAATGGTCTTTTATGGTAATAAGTCCGGACTCGGTTCTTTTAGTTTTTTTTTTGGACTTAAACCTAAACATTCTTACAAGTCCGGATCCAAGTCCAGTGAACCGGTATGCACCACTAGCCCTGTTTTCTTTGTGTTCTCAGTTCTTTGTGGCGATCCGTGAACTAGAAGAGGAAGGTCTGTACAACCTGAGGTTCCACAACTGTTATAACAAACACTCGTCAGCGGAGGACAGCAAGGCTAAAGTCACCATCAGTATGCAGGTGGACGTGGTGGAGATGAACAACAACAACTACCTGTCTGCTGGGGAGGTCAGTTATTTGTTTGTTTGTTTATTATTTGCACAGCAGCAATAAAAAATTATACATAATAAATTAATAATGAATAAAACAGGTGCAGGAGGAGGGAAAAAGCTTATTTAGCTAACACTGGTCACCTCAATTTTGGAATGTCACTTTCCGAATTTTGAGACACCTATGTTGAAACCCCTGATTTTCAACTTTGTTATTCCTGGATGTACAGTGAACTTTTGCATGCCATTGGAAAGATCATGCTATCTTCAGTACCAGGTTGCTTTTTTTATGGTCAGAATGTACAAATTTATCAAGATATTTGACTTTAAAAATTGCAAGCCTGGCGGTCTAGAACACACACCGTCATGCCCAGCAGCTTAGCCTGGCAGTCCTAAACTTTAGCCCGCGGCCTGAGTTAGCCAGCCCGCATCCAGACCGCATCCAATTAGCCTCATGAACACCCCATGAAAACCACTGAATTAATGAGAATTCACATTTTCACACCTGTGTAATTAACAAGTTTGTGATAAATTCATGAGAGGTCTGGGCTCAATGGTTAGCCCGCGGGCCTGAACAGGCCTGTCGGTCTGTGGACAGGCTGGGCTGATGATTAGGCCTTATGATAGAGAACCTTCAGACTTTAAACACCAAATAGAAAGTGGGAAACAAAAATATGCTTCCAAATTGATGCTTCCAGATTGATGATGGTTTACACTTCACTTCATATCACTTCATATTAATAAACACCCTTCACATTTTCAGCTATTATTTTCAATAAGTGATTACATATTATTGACAAGTATGATGTACAGGTATGAATGATGATAACTTTCATGAATATTCATTTTGAACATTTTCTGCAAAAGCTTCAGAAATTTCTACTGGAAGAATTTTTCCTGTACATGGGAAGAATTGTTCTGCTATTAAGACTGCAAAAAGTCTCTTTTTAGTAGAAAGCTTTTTGAACATGTTTGAGGAGGTGGATTTTGCTCCTGCTGTGCTACCTGGGCTGATACCTGGGCGGGTGTAACATTTGTGTAACGGTTATGACTAAAAAAGATCAGATAGCATCATAAAAGACCCTTGTCTCAGCAAGAACACTTCATATTAGACCTGATTGGTTGTGGTGTTGGAAGCCAACTTTTGAGGACACTTCATGGTCACTTACAGTTTCTGTTTGGCAGGTATAGTCCAATCTGTCCTACTATGGATGGGCAACTCCCCTGGCCAAATCCCTTTGAAACATCATGGGGGTAGAAATTTATCTTTTTTTTAAAGAATGAAGACTTGGCTAAGTACAGGTCACAACAAAACAAGATGAATGGACATGGTTAACAGATAAACAATAACTCCATGGAAACATTTAAATCAAAAGGAAAACATTTGGAGTTTTTAGTGCCATAATCCTGCCATG